TTTGGTAATTTATTTCAAAATACCTGTCAGCAAGTATGTCTGTAACAATACAGACAACAAAAAAGATTCAGGACATGTTTTTTGACAAATAGATTCCTTATTAGGCATATTAATACAGAACTGAGTAATTCATTCAAACTACAATACAGAACCATATTTCCTGCACCCCTCAGAAGCAGTGCAAAGGCTTGGGGGAGTCAGGGGTAATGGAGAAGCTGAGGGAGAGTGAAGCAATTGCTGGAAAGGAGTCTGGGTGTGAACTTGAGAGGGTTGTTGGACATGGGTGGGAAAAGTATGGACCACGTTTTTTTTGGGGGGGGGGGCAGGGAGGGATTGTTAGGGAGCTTCCCCCATGTAGACCCTGGCTGACCCCTAGCCTCTCCCATTCAGGCACATCTGCCTGTCCCCATGTGTCCCTGCACTCCATCCCCCATCCCTATGCATCTCTGTGCCCCCACTCACCCATCTCCCTTCCTCCATGTAGCACCACACACCCCCAGCCAGCCCTCTCCCCCATCCTGTTGTAGCCCTGCACCCCCTACCCCTCATCCCCATTTGTCCCTGCACTCCTTCCCCCATCCTTATGTGTCTCTGTGCCTTCTGGTGCGTGGCCATCACTCTACAGGTCCTGGTTCATTACTGGGATTCCTATGAACTACAGCAACAAAATAATAAGTGGTGATTTGCATGTAAAGGTAACCAGCCTCTATCTAGTCCGTTGACCCAGGGAACAAGGGATGTATTTGCCCTCAGCAGCCCCCAAGCTAGAAACTGCTGACTGACAGCGCATGATGCCAAGCTAGCATGCTGGCCAAGTCCATTCTTTGGAACCCACCCAAAAAGCCTTATCCACATTAAGACCAAAGCCGGTAGCATTCACATCACATCACAATTAGCCCCCCTTCTTGTCAGTTTGGCACAGAGGGCCAGGAATGAATGGGTCACAAGAGTGACTAGCCAGCAGCCTCTTCAGATCATGGTTAAGGCACATTAGCGGGTGGGCGAGAAGCCTATACTGTTGTTGTCATTGCTGTACCTGTTCTGTAGAGAGAGAGAGAACTTCAATCTCAACATTCTTCCCTTTCCCCAAGCAGCATATCCACCTACATGAAACATGCACAGAATCACTCCATCACCAAGGCCCTCTACCCCATGGTTTTAGCTGAGAATTCCCCCCCCCCCCCACCTTGAACCAGTCACAGAGCAGGGTTTATGGTAAACAGGTTGACATCTTTAATTACACCACCTTGTAATTGCCTTTGGTATGTTCAATTATCTTTATAAAAAGGAAACAGACAGATTTGTGCAGAGTCCAATCTATCTGCATACAAATTACACTGCACACACAATGTAATGTAGACAGCAGCTTTTAACTCAAATAAATCAATGAATTGCGATGCTCACAGGGAAGATGCTTGAATAATAAACCTTAACCTCCCACAGTTCAAGTTGTTTTGGGGCTAGTAATCACAGTCAGTTTCTCTATCAGCAACGGGATACATTAGATAATGTTGTGGTGTGTTAAGGCCTTAATAGTAACTGTTAAGCATGGCCAGAGAAAAATGAAGCTGAGACACAGCACTCAAAACATTATTTGTACTTACTCCTTCCCCAACATTTTCCACAATAGGCTTTTCAGCCTTCCGTTCGCCACACAGGAACATAAATTACCTCCACACTTTAGCATTATAAGGGATTTGCTTCCTGTGGTGCTCCTCTTACAGAAGAGATAGAGAAGACAGCAGAATAAAACTTGGGACTACAGTTGGCTGAAATTTGGAATTTCCAGGTCATGGGAAATTTCAACGTTCAAAATTTCCCATGAACTGGAGATTCTGAAAAATCATGTTTCAGAAACACCAAAACAGTGTTTTCAAAATGAAATATGCAGGGGGTGCTGGAACAATTTTTATAAGGGGGGGTGCTGAGAGCCATTAAACCTAATGGTAAACCCTGTATATAATGGAAACCATTTCAAGGTCGGGGGTGCAATATCACTCTTAGTTCCAGCACCTGTGGAAATAGCTCCCAGGTAGTTGCTTAGTGAAACTGAAATAATTCATGTCAGTTTCACTACTTCCCACCACTAAATAGCAGCTATCAAACAGTCATTTTGAGGTCTCTTCCAACCCTGATATTCTATGATTCATTTTCAAGGCTACCATTCAGTCATGAGCAGCGGTGAAATGGACATGAACCAGGTCAGCAGCTGCCAGGAATTCCATGGTCCAGTAGCCCCATGGCATCCTGGCCACATGGATGGCCCAGGGCTGGCAACCCTAGGGCTACCAAATTCCCACACCAGCTGGCTCCCCAAGTTAATAGAGTATAGGCATCCAGGGTGCAAGTTGACTGGGGAGTCTGGCTCAGTGGCAGACAGCCTGGAAGCCCCAACTGGAGATGGGGCTCTCTATGGTACTGGAGTCCAGCTCCCGAGAGCAACAGCTTGAGGCAGGGCTGCCATTCCCTCATCAGGAAGCATGGAAACCCTGAGAGCTCCAGCTGCAGCTTTCATGGCTTCCAGGCTCAAGCTCAAAATTACTTTCTTCAAAGGGCGGACAGAAGGGTTTATCTAGATTTATAAAACAGCACTTTGTTCTTTACCATCAGCTTTATGCAGTGATCCACCAAGGATTTTTTTTTTTTTTGGGGGGAAGTGTGTATATATTTATTTATTTAAAATGCTGCAGGGTGGGTTGGTTTTTTTGGTGTGTGCATGCACTCTCAGCAACTCTGGTCTTTCCTGATGTTGCTAGAGGACCTCTCTGTTGGATGTATTTATTCAAGTGGCAGAATGATAAATTCAACACATTCTTCAACGTGTCAGTCAGCAAAGTTAAACCAGAGTTAAAAAAAACTTCCCCTGCTGTTGTTACACTAATGATCTTTCATTTTGCAGAATGGGACAATGTGACATACTAGCTGGTAAATCATGGAGCCTCTGTACTTCTCCCCCACACACTATAGCCACAGAATAATAAAGAAAGCAAGTAGCATTAACACACGTAAATTACTAGGTAAAGTGGCAGTTGTGCAGTTTCTTACTTTAAGTCACCTTTGTATTTCACACGGTCAAGATTATGAATACTGAAGAAACCCTCTCTGAAGATATGGCTCGTTTGGGCAAATCGAAGATTAGATGCGAATGTTCACAGTTAGTCTGTAAGCCTTATCAGGGCAGGGGCTATCTTCTTATTAGGTGTGGGCAATGCATACCACAGTAAGGCTCTGGTCAAGGCCTCTAAATGCTGCTGTAATAATCAAAGGACTATGCATGTTGTTCAAACAAAGCACTCAGTAGCGAAAGAAGATTTTTGTTTGGTGAAGATCCCCACACTCTTTTCTATTCTAGATGCACTCTTGGCATCCTTGGAGTAAGCTGATAACATTCTAGACTTCCTAATATCAGACAGAAAACTTACCAGCAATGCACTGGCTTGTACATGTTTGGATTTACTGTCCAATGCAGGGCAAGCACAAAGGAGCTAGCACACATCTACCAACATAAGCATTATCATTTAAGGTTGGGATGGAAAAATCCACTTTGCCATGGCAAATAGGAAATGTCCCGGTGAGTAAACCACTGTCATTCCCTTAAAAAAAAACAACAAACAAACCCCCATGCAAGGTTAACTTTTTGTATAACCTAAAGTCTCTCTCTCACACACACACACAGATGGAGAGCTCTAATTCTTGAAATGCCTCAGCTGTGGGTTAGAACTTTCAGAACAAGCTGCAGCAAAGTGAAAACTAACCTAAGTATTTTCAGTTTTACTTTTACTATTCAGAACCCTGTATCTTGTTGATATCACTGCTGCAATCAGGTGTTTCATTCTGCAGCAGCTCACAAAGTCTCTGAGCAATAGCAGAGGCGGATACTGAAGCTCCTTCTACTGAGGCTGGGAGCTGCAAAATGAAGGCTAGGATAGTAGAAACACCCCTGCTTAGAACAACCAAAAAGCCAAAAGAGGGTGGAGTAGAGCCGTCCTTGAAACAGCAAGCCCCTGCCACCTTCCATATCAGACTTAGCTTTCTGGCTATTATGTATTTGTTAAGCTTTCTAAGCCCAGTGTGTGAGTACGTGGAAGGTGGTGGTTAAGATATGTTAGAAAAGATATGCACAGTACAAGATGTACAGTATAGAGCGTAATGGGGGTTAAGTAATAAGGAGGGAAACTATATGGGAGGAGGTAGAAAATATAGGGAAAGGAAACAAGAGACCGGTTAAAGTATGTAGAGATTGTTTTGGATGGGAGTACCTACAGATATGGACTCTCTAACAGCAAAATAGACCATTTCTTTGGGCTACTGAATTTTTAGTTGGAGCAGTATGCTTGTCCAAGGAATTTTGCAAAGCTGATTTAAGGACAGACTGTGCTCCATGCTAGAACAAAAAAAAAAGGAAGGAAGCTGGAAACACACAGGAGGATGGAAATGTCTTATTGACAAGAACTGCACAATGCAACAGAAATCCAAATAAAATGAATGAAGATTAACCTGGCAGGAAAAAACCAGCCTGCACAGTGCCTTGGTATGAACAAAACTAAGAACATAACTGAAATTGATCTGGGTGTGACACCTGAAGTATTTTAGATTGACTAACATCTGACCAACTCTTACCCAGACAGACAAGGGAGTTAGATAACTGACATACAGGAAAAGAGCCAAGATGCTGATTGTCCTAGTTGTATGCATTTAGTAAGCAACCGCATTCAATTTGCAAACAAGGATGCAACCTGAACACCGTGTGGTGAGAAGAGGAAGCAATTGTTCCAAGCTTCCCACCTTTGAGTAATATTTTTTACCCATCACTGTTACTATCTTAAAGGAAAACAGTTAAGGTGTCTTGGATTAGCCATCTCTCCCTTCAGTAGCTGTCAGCAGGTTCATTGTTAGGAAAGAGTTCTCAAGACTAATCAGGAAGAACTCTTCCCACCTCCTCAAAATTCACAAGCAATCCAGGCACAACACAATAAATAATGATGTAAGATCGCAGTAGCTCCAATGAGATATTTTTACCACACAAGTTCAGGACTTTACCAAATACTTTCCTTCCAACAAAACTAAAATGAAACACAAGAGTCTCAGTATCTATTCTTAGCTCTCATCCCAGTCCTCTAGAGCCCAGTCTGGCATCTTGGAATTGTATTCAAACTCTGCTCCCTTGTAGCGTAAGGCATGCAGGTACATCACCAGCTCCCTAGGAGATGGGTCCTGCCTTACTATTTTACACTCTTCACACAGAGGGTCCTTTTCTTCTGTATGTCCATCCTGATTCCCACTTGAACTAGCTCCTTCAGGGTTTTCTCCAGCCTGATTCCCACTTGAACTAGCTCCTTCAGGGTTTGCTTCATGTGTTTCTGGTCTGGTATCAGAATTTGGTGAACAAGCCAGTATTTCAGCTTCTTTCTGATCCTTAGAGACCTCAGTTCTGCAGGAGTCTGTGCTTATGGGCGTAATCTCAACTGGCTTAGTACAGTAACCTGAACGGTCACATTCTTCATTTCCCACAATGGGCTTCAGGTCCTCCTCTGAAATGTCCAAGATGCTCAAACTCTGTTTGGAACGATGTTCTTCCACTAAAGCCCTGAGAAGCTCCTCATCGGTTTTATTAATCTCACCACCCTTACCCTTAGTAGGGCCCCAGGCCTCCATATTGTAGATGGGGTCATTAACAATTGGATATCCCAGGAATTGCAAATGGACCCGGATCTGGTGGGTGCGACCCGTGTATGGAAAACACTTGACCACACTGGTCTTGCCATTATAACTAAGCCTTTGGAAGACAGTTTTACAGGATTTGCCTTTGGGGTCCACACGACACACCCCCACTTTGTAAGAAACAACCAGGATGGGTTCCTCACAGGTCACTTCATTTTCTGGAAACTCCCCAAGCACACGGCAGACGTATTCCTTTTCCAGCTACAGGGGGAAAACAGAGTAAACATCAGAAACACATCAATCCAGACTCAATGTAAATCTCTCTCGAGCTCCAACTACATTAAGCTTAATACGAACCATTCCTGCCCTCCCCTTCACTTACAGATATGTGGGGAAGTTCAGACATTTCAGTTATAGGATTGCAGATAAACAGGAGAAGCAAACAAGCATCTCAAGTGTACCTTATTATATAGTGAAGTCTTCTATTTAGACCTACAATGGCTTCTGTCCCACTCAGGTGTACTTTATTAATGGAGTTTGATAACTTCATAATTCAACATTTCAACTAAGTCCTAGGAAACTATTTTAACAACAACATTAAACCCAAATTTATGTCAAGATTTATTCTGATTTTTGTTGTCCCCCCTTACTTTTGGGCCCTTGCTGCAAATCTTAAAAGCCAGAGTCCCATAACTGGGATTGGCAGGCTGCGGGTGTGACACCCTGTACCCCATGTTCAGCACTTTTATATGGTTATGATCTATTTTGTACAAAGTATGCCTTGTGAGGTATCATTTGAAAACTCAATCTACTGAACAACACTGTCCTGTAAAAATCTGTGTATCAACATTGTATATGGAGCTATGAGATTTTACTATAGGATTGTTACTGAAATACGCTGTAGTTCTGGGTAATGCCCGCAGACCATTTTCTCAAAGACAAAGACATCACCTAGGTGCTAAAAGGCCATTACCTGCTTAATCGGAGATATACCAGCACGAGCACTGTAAACAAGAAATTTATAATTCATCTGAAGGTCAGTTGGCAGTTCACATACGCCATGGAACTGCCTGACACCATGACCCAGCAAAGACTTTTCCAGTGCAAAGGGTCAGAGTATAAGGAGAAAGAAAAAATGCCTCTATATACCTCTCCTCTCCCATCTTTACTCATAGAAGATCACTTGAAAGACAAAAGGTGCATCACTAAACTAAGGAGAGCTGGGGTACTGGAACAATTTTTATAGTGGGGGTGCTGAGAGTCACTGAACCAAGCTGTTAACCCTGTATATAACGGAAACCACTTCAACATAAGAATGGCCATACTGGGTCAGACCAAAGGTTCATCTAGCCCAGTATCCTGTCTTTTGACAGGTGCCAACGCCCGGTGCCCCAGAGGGAATGAATAGAACAGGTAATCATCAAGTGATCCATCCCCCGTCGCCCATTCCCAGCTTCTGGCAAACAGAAGCTAGGGACACCATCCCTCCCCATTCTGGCTAATAGTCATTGATGGACCTATCCTCCATGAATTTTTCTAGTTCTTTTTAAAACCCTGTTATAGTCTTGGCCTTCACAACATCCTCTGGCAATGAGTTCCATAGATGGACTGTGCGTTGTGTGAAAAAATACTTCCTTTTGATTGTTTTAAACCTGCTACCTATTAATTTCATTTGGTGACCCCTAGTTCTTGTGTTAGGAGGAGTAAAGAACACTTTCTTATTTATTTTCTCCACACCAGTCATGATTTTTATAGACCTCTATCATATCCCTCTTAGTTGTCTTTTTCCAAGCTGAAAAGTCCCAGTCTTATTAATCTCTCCTCATATGGAAGCCATGCCATACCCCTAATAATTTCTGTTGCCCTTTTCTGAATCTTTTCCAATTCCAATATATCTTTTTTGAGATGGGGCAACCACATCTGCAAGCAGTCTTCAAGATGTGGGCATACTATGGATTTCTGTCTTATTATCTATCCCTTTCTTAATGACTCTGTTCACTTTGCTGACTGCTGCTGCACATTAAGTGGATATTTTCAGAGAAACATCCCCCAGTTCCAGCACCTATGAGTTTAAATGATCCTGGCCTAGAGGTTTTTCCAGCCAGTACAGACTACTGAAAGTTTTTGGGTGACAGAAACTTTTTGCTTTAAACTTATTAATCTTGGTAAAGTTTAGGAATTTGCTTGCGTGTTTATCTTTTTTCTTCTTTTGTAACCAACTCTGACTTTTATGCCTTATCACTTGTAAATCACTTAAAATTAGGGCTATCAAACTATTAAAAAAATAATCACAATTAATCGCAAGATTTAAAAATAGTTGCGTATTAATTGCAGTTTTAATTGCACTGTTAAACAATAACAGAATACCAATTTAATTTATTCTAAATATTCGTGGAGGTTTTTCTACATTTTCAAATATATTGATTTCAATTACAATACACAAAACAAAGCATACAGTACTCTATTATTTGAGTACAAATATTTGCACTGTAAAAAAAATAGTTTTTCAATTCACCTCATACAAGTACTGTCGTGCAATCTCTATCGTGAAAATGCAACTTAAAGTTAGAATTATTATTTTTTGTTTTTACATAACTGCACTCAAAAACAATGTAAAATTTTAGAGCCCACAAGTTGAAGCATGAAGGGGCATACAAATGTTTAGCATATCTGGTACGCAAATACCTTGTAATGCTGAATAGAACAGTGCCATGCAAAAGCCTGTTCTTACTTTAAAGTGACATTGTAAATAAGAAGGGGGCAGCATTATCGCCCGTAAATATAAACAACCGTTTTTGTCTTAAGTGATTGGCTGAACAAGTAGGACTGAGTGGACTAGTATGAGGTGAATTGAAAATTACAATCTCTTATCTTTTTTACAGTGCAAATATTTGTAATCAAAAATAAAGAGAGCACTGTACACTTTGTGTTCTGTGTTATAACTGAAATCAATATATTTGAAAATGTAGAAAAACATCCAAAAGATAATAAACGATAGAATACCAATTTAAATTTAACAGTGTGATTAAAACTGCGATTAATCGTGACTTTTTAAAATCTAATTAATTTGTTTCGCGTTAATCTCATGCATTAACTGCGATCAATAGACAGCCCTACTTAAAATCTAAAACAAGTTTATTAACTAGAGAAAGATACTGTTTTATCTAAACCAGTGTGTTTGGTTGAAGTGTTTGGAAAGTCTCCACTTGAGACAACAAAGGCTGATGCATATTCATTACCCTTTGTAGGAATGACGGACTAATTTATGAACTTGTACGATCCAGTGGGCTACTGAAGGTACAAGGCTTGGACTCAGGGATATGCGGATGTTGCCCTGTATCTATTTATGGATGGCAGTACACATCATTCATGTACTCAGCTGAGAGAGACTTTGCATGCTGGTGGCTGTGAGTGATCAGAGCCTGGAGAGGTTTGCTGTTCACTAGCAAAGCAATGTAAAAGGCATCCCAGGCTGGAGAGCTAAGGGGCCATAGCAGTTCAGCATGCACCCTGGGGAATGTCACAACAGGCTATTGCATAGAATATTTACAAGATAATTTGAGTCCTTCAAAATTGAAATAGGGTTTTTATTAAAACATCAATATCCTCTCAATTATTGTCTCACAAACTAGTACACTTATCCACTATACAACCTACTGAGGCACCCAAATTCTGCTCAGTGGAGCACCACATTAGCATCTTACCAAGAGCACGAGGGGTGCATGTAATTTGCACCTGTCTTCATCTTAAAGAAAAAGCTCTGACCTACTGAGACTATAGGCCCTAAAATGCAATGCCCCTAGACATAAGCTGTATTTATGCATTAAAAATTAAAGCAGCCACAGGCTGCAATGTAAACTTTGGGACTGGTGTTTGGCCAACAGTCTGTACTCGGACCAAACCTGCTTCAAGAGCTCTTTAAAGATGCACTTTGAAAATCACTTAAGTCCTCAGCCCTCACCTGTCTCTGCCGAACTTGCTCATCAATCCTCTTAGACACTTCTGCAGTCTTGGCAAATATAAGCACACCAGAAGTCATGCGATCAAGCCGGTGAATAGTGTGCAACTCCTTCAGGTTATGCTCTTTGCCCAAGATGAAGATGACTGTGTTGTGTCGAAATCTGCCACATGGGTGTACAGGTAAAGATGAGGGTTTGTCCACGACAACCACCTCGTCATTCTCTACCAAGATCCGGATAGGCTGAGCAGTGACTGGAGGCTCATGGCGATGCACTGTATTCCTCAGAAAATCGTTATTCTATAAGCAAAACAGATTATTAGAATAGATATCTAAGTCGTTAATGAAGATATTGAACAGAGTTTTCAGGCATCTAAAAGGGTGTCATAAGGAGGAGGGAGAAAACTTGTTCACCTTAGCCTCTGAGGATAGAACAAGAAGCAATGGGCTTAAACTGCAGCAAGGGAGGTCTAGGTTGGACATTAGGAAAAAGTTCCTAACTGTCAGGGTGGTTAAACACTGGAATAAATTGCCTAGGGAAGTTGTGGAATCTCCATCTCTGGAGATATTTAAGAATAGGTTAGATAAATGTCTATCAGGGATGGTCTAGACAGTATTTGGTCCTGCCATGCGGGCAGGGGACTGGACTCGATGACCTCTCGAGGTCCCTTCCAGTCCTAGAATCTATGAATCTATGAATCATGACATACTAGAGAACTAGGTTTTCTTTATGTAGGCTATTTTCTTTATGTAGGCTATTCTCCCCACTTCAGGTCACCACAAATTAGCTACACACATTTCAAAATATTGTTTTAATTAGCAGTTTTTTGTAGTCTAGACTGGGGGCTTGCACTCTAGCGTGGGAAACAGGACACCCCTTCCTCCACACACACAGCCAAGCAATGAACCCGCAACTGCAGTAACTGTTGTAGGGAGCCAGCGGTCCAGAGGGGAGGGCTGCTCCCCACGGAGACAGAGCGGCCAGCTGGGGCCATGGGGGTAGCAGGAAGGAGAGTGAGAAGATGAAGGTCCGGGTGGGGCAGAGGGGCGCTGCACGCGGGAGGGGATCTCTCTCCCCAAGGGTGGGGAACATGTTCCTGAGATTACCAAATCGATGCCCCCCGCCCCCCGAGACGTAAGCCCCCGCCGGTGCCAAGCCGCGGTAAGGCAACCCGGGGTCTGGCGCAGGCGGGCGGGGGCGCCGGGGACCTGCCTTGAGCACGATGCCGAGGTCCCGCACGGGCTGCTCGTTGAGGCGCAGGCGGCCGGCGCGGGCCGCGGCCCGGTAGTAGTCGATGGGCTGGGCGCGGAACTCGGTGCTGAAGACGTGCAGCAGGCTCTTGCCCACCCAGCGGCCCTTGCAGTAGGTCTGGAAGTCGAAGTGGTAGGGCCGCACCTTGCGCAGCCCGCCCTCGAAGTAGTAGCGGGTCTCGGCGAAGTGCGTCTCGCTGAAGCTCACGCCGGGGTTGCGCTTCCTCGGGGGCGGCACGTAGCGCTCGCCGCGGCCCGGCCGCTTCTCCTCCCCGGCCAGCAGCCGCCGTCTCTTGGCCGCGGGGGGCGCGTCCCCCGCCTCGAGGCTCCCCGGGCCGGGCTCTTCCATGCGGCCGCCCACGGGCGCTAGCACGGCGAGCGACCAGCGGACTCTCGGGCCAGCGAGGAGCAGCCACGGCTCGGCCGTCCCCACCGGCCTCGCCCACATGGCCTCGGACAGGGCTACCCCGGCGTGTGACGCCCCCGCAGTCCAACCAATCGCCCCAGCCCGCTCACTGTGACGTTTAACAGAAGCGACCCGAAACTCCCCGCCCCTAGAGCTAGACACCGCCCCTTCCCCATGGCTCTTCGCCGCCGTGACTTCATGGGCGCAGTCTGCTGGGGCGGGCTGGGTGCCCCTGTACGCAGGCGCACACGTGCACGCTGAAGCCAGTTCCGGGGGGGAGAAGAGACCCTGCTGCTGCGGTGACCTGAGCACTCTGGCACTGGCTGCTGCGGTGATGTGGCTGCAGCCGTGCTTCCCTGTGCTCCTGCAGCTACCTCCCCTAGCCCCGTCTCCTCCCCATCATCCTATACCCCCAGCCCTGCCCCCTCACCCCATGGCCACTCAGTTGTAGGTTTGCCAATTTTGGTTAGACATAGGCCTAGAGGTTTCATCATGTAACAATCTATAATGAAAAATTAATTTTGAAGTCCTGGAGACTCCAGGGCAATCCTGGAGGGTTGGCAACCTAATGTGTATAGGAAACGGGCACTGGAACACAGGCAGCAGCATCCAGCTGCAGAAGTAGCGACCTGGAGTAGCTGCTGCAACCTGCTCCCCACCCAGCCCCACTGCGCAGATAGGGAGGCACTGGGGGTGCAGATGGAGGCAGCACAGCATGGGATGGCTAGAACTCCCCTCCCCCTCAGCTTGGCCCTCACAGAAAATCAGGGGTGGGGAGTGGTATATGACCCCACATACCCCCCAAGCCGCTCCTCTGTTGAGGGCAGCAATGTCCCCCTGCACTCCCCCCCCCCCAAACTATGCCCATGTGTGATTTGTATCATACGCAGTAACCTGTAACACCCACAAACTGCTGGCATGAAGACAGCATTGGAAATACAACTATGACATTGTTGGCATCACCAAAACTTGGTGGGATAATACACGATTGGAATGTTGGTATGGATGGGTACAGCTTGCTCAGGAAGGATAGACAGGGGAAAAAGGGAGGAGGTGTTGTCTTATACATATTAAAAATGTACACACTTGGATTGAGGTGGAGATGGATAGAGGAGACAAAAGTGTTGAGAGTCTCTGGGTTAGGCTAAAAGGGGTAAAAAACCAAGGGTGATGTCATGCTAGGAGTCTACTACAGGCCACCTAACGAGGGGGAAGAGGCTTTTTTTAAACAACTAAAAATCATCCAAAGCCCAAGATTCGGTGGCGATGGGGGACTTCAACTATCCAGATAGATGTTGGGAAAAATGACACAGGGAGGTACAGACTATCCAATAAGTTTTTGGACTGCATTGCAGACAACTTTTTATTTCAGAAGGTTGAAAAAGCTACTGGGGGGAAGCTGTTCTAGATTTGATTTTAACAAATAGGGAGGAACTCGAGAATTTGAAAGTGGAAGGCAGCTTGGGTGAAAGTGATCATGAAATCATAGAGTTTGCAATTCTAAGGAAGGGTAGAAGGGAGAACAGCAAAATAGAGACAATGGATTTCAGGAAGGCGGATTTTGGTAAGCTCAGAGAGCTGATAGGTAAGATCCCATGGGAATCAAGACTGAGGGGAAAAACAACTGAGGAGAGTTGGCAGTATTTCAAAGGGACACTTAAGGGCCGAAAAGCAAGCTATTCCACTGGGTAGGAAAGGTAGAAAATGTGGGAAAAGACCACCTTGGCTTAACCACGAGATCTTGCATGATCTAAAAAATAAAAAGGAGTCGTATAAAAAATGGAAACTAGGACAAATTACAAAGGATGGATATAGGCAAACAACACAGGAATGCAGGGGCAAGATTAGAAAGGCAAAGGCACAAAATGAGCTCAAACTAGCTACAGGAATAAAGGGAAACAAGACGACTTTTTATCAATACATTAGAAGCAAGAGGAAGACCAAGGACAGGGTAGGCCCACTGCTCAGTGAGGAGGGAGAAACAGTAACTTGGAAATGGCAGAGATGCTTAATGACTTTTGTTTCAGTCTTCACTGAGAAGTCTGAAGGAATGCCTAACATAGTGAATGCTAATGGGAAGAGGGTAGGTTTAGAAGATAAAATAAAAAAAGAACAAGTTAAAAATCACTTAGAAAAGTTAGATGCCTGCAAGTCACCAGGGCCTGATTAAATGCATCCTAGAATACTCAAGGAGCTAATAGAGGAGGTATCTGAGCCTCTAGCTATTATCTTTGGGAAATCATGGGAGACCGGAGAGATTCCAGAAGACTGGAAAAAGGCAAATATAGTGCCCATCTATAAAAAGGGAAATAAAAACAACCCAGGAAACTACGGACCAGTTAGTTTCACTTCTGTGCCAGGGAAGATAATGGAGCAAGTAATTAAGGAAATCATCTGCAAACACTTGGAAGGTGGTAAGGTGATAGGGAATAGCCAGCATGGATTGTAAAGAACAAATCATGTCAAACCAATCTGATAGCTTTCTTCGATAGGATAACGAGTCTTGTGGATAAGGGAGAAGCGGTGGATGTGGTATACCAAGACTTTAAGGCATTTGATACGGTCTCGCATAATATTCTTATCAATAAACTAGGCAAATACAACTTAGATGGGGCTACTATAAGATAGGTGCATAACTGGCTGGATAACCGTACTCAGAGAGTAGTTATTAATGGTTCCCAATCCTGCTGGAAAGGTATAACAAATGGGGTTCCGCAGGGGTCTGTTTTGGGATCGGCTCTGTTCAATATCTTCATCAATGGCAGATATTGGCATAGAAAGTACGCTTATTAAGTTTGCAGATGATACCAAACTGGGAGGGATTGCAACTGCTTTGGAGGATAGGGTCATAATTCAAAAGGATCTGGACAAATTGGAGAAATGGTCTAAGTTAAACAGGATGAAGTTTAATCAAGACAAATGCAAAGTGCTCCACTTAGGAAGGAACAATCAGTTTCACACATACAGAATGGGAAGAGATTGTGTAGGAAGAAGTACGTCAGAAAGGGATCTAGGGGTTATAGTGGACCACAAGTTAAATGAGTCAACAGTGTGATGCTGTTGCAAAAAAAAGCAAACATGATTCTGGGATGCCTTAACAGGTGTGTTGTGAGCAAGACACGAGAAGTCATTCTTCCGCTCTACTCTGCGCTGGTTAGGCTTCAACTGGAATATTGTGTCCAGTTCTGGGCACCACATTTTAAGAAAGATGTGGAGAAATTGGAGAGGGTCCAGAGAAGAGCAACAAGAATGATTAAAGGTCTAGAGAACATGACCTATGAAGGAAGGCTGAAAGAATTGGGTTTGTTTAGTTTGGAAAAGAGAAGACTGAGAGGGGACATGATAGCAGTTTTTAGGTACACCTCTACCCCGATATAACACGAATTCGGATATAAAGCGGTAAAGCAGTGCTCCGAGGATGTGTGGCTGCGCACTCTGGTGGATCAAAGCAAGTTCGATATAACGCGGTTTCACCTATAACGCGGTAAGATTTTTTGGCTCCCGAGGACAGCGTTATATCGAGGTAGAGGTGTATCTAAAAGGGTGTCATAAGGAGGAGGGAGAAAACTTGTTCATCTTAGCCTCTAAGGTTAGAACAAGAAGCAATGGGCTTAAACTGCAGCAAGAGAGGTTTAGGTTGGACATTAGAAAAAGGTTCCTAACTGTCAGGGTGGTTAAACACTGGAATAAATTGCCTAGGGAGGTTGTGGAATCTCCATCTCTGGAGATATTTAAGAGTAGGTTAGATAAATGTCTATCGGGATGGTCTAGACAGTATTTGGTCCTGCCATGAGGGCAAGGGACTGGATTCGATGGCCCCGCGAGGTCCCTTCCAGCCCTAGAATCTATGAATCCTTTATCTAGAGAAAGGTACAGCATAAAATGCTAGTGGGAGCTAGAGATGTAAATTTTGTTTTAAAAGTTAACTGGTTAAACGATTAAAATTATATCTGTTAACTGAGGTCCCTCCAGCCAGGCCCCCGGGGGGGAGTGCGTGCTGGGGTCCCTGCGGCTGGCGCAGCCGGGGCTGGGGTTGCTCTGGCCGATGTGCAGGGGCTTAACATTTAAGGCCAGTTAACGGTAACCCTAATGCTTACCTGTTACCCTTTTACATCCCTAGTGGGAGCATCTTTATTTCAGCCCTATTAATTTGATCACCACCATTCAGGGCCCAATTTGAAGGGAGAAAAGAATTCCAGCTCCTAGAACATGCACAATCCAATTTCAGAAAAGATGCCACAACAATGGTGCTAATCAGTATCATATGAAACATGGGACCTGTCTGTTTCATTTTAAAGAATACCCATTTTTTCCCCTCTATTGAAAAGAAGTGCCTAATTTAAGAGAAAGCCTTAGGAGACTGTATCTCAATTCTGAGTAAGCATGCATGATTGCTAACACCAAGTCCTGGCTTCATCAGGGGAATAGTGTGTTCATACAGCTGATTAACTAGCTCACCAAAAAGGGGATGAGAAAAGAATATGTTTAATCGAGAAGATTAAGCAGATCAAATACATACTGTAATTTTTCTTCAGGCATCAGATGAGCAAGTCATGAATATAAATGCACTACCATTTAATCAAGTACAATACAGATGAATTCTCAAATCTGTAACAGTATTGCACACTCTCCATTCTCTATTTACATAGATATTGTATGTGGAGCTGACCAAAGAGGACAACTGGGCTTATCTGGTTTTACTCAGTCCAGGAAGAAATCAGACAAGATCTCCACAGCTTAGGAACTGGGTGCTGATTGATCTGGAGGAATATTCTTCTCTCACTCCTCCGTATTGAGTTCTTTAAAAAGCAGAAAATGCCTTTGTGATGTGTCCAAGTTAAAAAAAAATTTGATTTATAAAGCAAAGCCATACACATCTATAGTTGCTTCTTCAGGACCTGGTTCATGAGCTTTCCAAGATCATTTTGTAAGAGATATTCTGTCAAACTTCATCCCTATGGGTGGAAAAAAGGCAACTGTGTTACTGCTGTGAATAAATTCACAATCTTCCTTTACAATGATAATGCATATGAATATAATACTTATGAAAACAAAAGGCCAGATTGTGATGGAAGCTAGCATGCTCCATTATTCTTTAGTCTCTAAAATACAAGGAGACGCACACAGCTCTCTTGCTGTGCCCGAGCATGTATGCCCCTTCCCTTCGTCTTCCTGGCTGCATCTGCTAGGATTCTGGGGTGGATCTTTCAGCCAGCGGATTCTGGAGATATGAGCTTCTGTCAACATCTTGCCACTGATAAGGGCAAGTGGAACAAAAGACAAATTACAATCAGAGAAACTTATTTTTTACCGGGGCCACTGCTTCTCCTTATCGGTCAGGGGAACATAGATCACGCCCATCAGTTGCGTTTCCACAATTTGCCCATCACTGGTTTTGTCATACTGCATCAGAACCTGGTTTGCACCTTCAGGCCCAACTGGCAAGATCAACCGGCCACCTGGCTTCAACTCTTTCAGCAACTGGCAAACAGAGGAGTCAATATCAGCAAGGACCAGAAACAGTTTGAACAAGGAAAGAAAGACAAAAGTAAAGCTGATTATGAGGTCTATTATGTTCACCAAAGGCGTTTACAGGATTGCCAACTTAACACAGAACAGAAAGGAAGCTATTCCAGATCTGTTACAGCCACAGGTGCAAGGGAATGAATGCAGACAGATGACATGTCTGTTAATTCTTACCTCCTTTGGTACAGTGTCTGCTGCTGCTCCAACATGGATGGCATCATAAGGTGCTTCTTCAGGGTATCCCTGCCTGCCATCTCCAACTGCAGAGAGGGAATGTGCAATGAAGATCCTTGTTCATATGGCAACTCAACCTAGAGAACCCTCTATCTTTCCTTTCACTTGAAAGGTATGTGAGGAAGGCTTTTGTATGTCAATTGTGATGGCAATTTGGATTTCTACAAGAAGCCTCCTAAGACAGGCTGCTCTATAAAGTTAATTTTTAAAGGAAGATAGATTTTGGAAACAGGCAACACCGTTAGATGAAGGAAACACCAGAGCTGGGACGGACCGTACATGACAAAGTAGGTTAGTGCAGACACAGGACTCCAGAGACCGACATTTAAATCTGATGGGTCACAACGGAAGTAGAGTTTGGTAGTTTCCAATGGAGATATGGTCAAAAACCAAACCCAGTTATTTGGTATTAACAGCAATCTTTACTTAAGAGGGGCTTAGTACTGAAATAAAGGAGTTGTTGCACACCCATAAGAAGAAAGTTGTATTGACAGAGCTGTTTGGAGATGGATCAATTGAATGGCACCTGCCAACATTATATATGGCTTCAGTCAGTGTTATTAGCCACCTAACCTTTAATTTGCACTTACCTGTGGAAATTAAGTTATTCAACAGAAAAACAGTTTCTTTCTTAATAATACTGTGACAAGCACTTGAATACTACCCAAAAAAAAAGAAAAAAAGAAAAGAAAAATTATGCCAACCACTGAGAGAGGCAGGTCTCCAGAAGCAGTAAGGGCTAATCACTGCCAGGCTACAATGCATTCAGGTACAGGAATGAAACAATAAGGGCATGGGCTACAGAGCTCACCCAGAAGTTTCAGACGGCCAGAAGTGAGCAGAGTTGGGTCATCTTCTCTGACATTTCTAATGGATTCATGGACCAGCTCTTCAATATGTTCTATGCCTACTGTCTTCCCTGTGGGACCCACCTGAAAAGAGATAGATGCTTCATTATGCGCATACAGAGATTGTGCATTGTACAGGGTGTTTTACTGTTGAAGTGGAAGGATTAGAGAGAATTTCCAGGGAATTATCTGTTATGGGGAATATCTGAATAGGAGGTGCAAATTCTGTATCAAGTTAGTTTTAATGATGGGTAATCCTGTTTATAGAATCATAGGACTGGAAGGGACCTCAAGAGATCATCTAGTCCAGTCCCGTGCACTCATGGCAGGACTATTATTTAGACCATTTCTGACAGGTGTTAGTCTAACCTGCTCTTTAAAATCTCCAATGATGAAGATTCCACAACCTCCCTAGGCAATTAATTCCAGTGCTTAACCACCCTGACAGTTAGGAAGCTTTTCCTAATGTCCATCCTAAAGCTCCCTTGCAGCAATTTAAGGCCCTTGCTTCTTGTTGAATGCTGATTAGGAATCCCCATAGACTGGGCTAGTCATCTTTCAGGTAGCTATATATATATATGTTACCTGAAAGATGACTAGCCCAGTCTATGGGGATTCCTAATCAGCATTCATTAGGAAAGATGTAGTCATCCACTAAAGGTAGATTGGGAAGAGGAAACAAAAGCCTTCCTTGTCAGGATTTCTTTTTGAAAATGTGACCAATTCCCCGGTAGGAGAGTGTCATGGGCAATCTTCTAGTGCTCTAAGAGTATTTTCAGAAACTCCTTTCATTAAGTCATTTTCTGTAGAGTATGTTTCTTAAGTTCAACAAAGCAAGTGAAAGTCAGAAAGAGACCGTTTCTGTATATGGCACTTAATTCACTCCCTTTTCAGTGTATACTGGGTTAATTTGTCTACTAGATCGTACTTCTGTGGCAGATACACCATCTGTTTTTACTCAAACTGACTGGAGGGATCACATTTATCTCTTGTTTAAGCTGATCTGGGGAGAAAAAGCACAATAGGCTTGCTTTAAGAAGCAGATTACTTCTCTTCATATTTATCTCAAGCAAAGAAGCAAATAATCTTGTACTTTGCTCACCATTCTAGCAAAGCAAGCTGTGAGGTAACCACTTCCTGATCCCACATCCAGGGCCTTTGCTCCTTCCACTAGCTGATCCTTCAGCAACTCCAGAGCATGGGCATGCTATGGGGATAACACCAACAAGATGATATCATGATGCACACTTTCACACAGAGATATTAATTTCTCTCATGCCCCTCCCCTAGTTTTTCCAGTCAGAATTGTGTTAATTGTGCAAGCATATTATGTTTAAAAACAGAACTTTTTCCTTCCCAGGACTCATTTTGCAGTGATGTCCCAATGTTGAGTTTGTAAAACCATTCTGATGACAGCACCTTTGAAAGTTGTTAGGAATATGGATTTCACTAGTGGAATGTGTAGCAGAAAATATCTGGCTTGTGAAGGAAGAGGATCTCTTGAAAAAAATAGAAAACTTCACTTTAAACAATAATTATGTCTTACTAAGGCTAACAATTGATTTTTCAAGGTTGACTGTCCTTCCTTAAAACTGTTTGTAAGTATTTCACACAGTTGTACAGGACACCAGTAATAAATGACATGCGGTACAAGGCAGTGTCCAATGCTCATGCATATAAGACCTACGTCAACTTGCTATTACATCTTTTAAATTAAAGCGATCCTCCAAGTCTATGAATAGAATGGAAAGTTTATCTTACCATGTGGGGTGCACTGATTGTAGCCTTATATCCTGAAAAGAAACCACTGACCGTTAAACACAAGTAATATGAAATTATGACCATGTCTGAATAATTACTATTACCTCCTCTAAACTGTTTGTTTTTATTTTTCTTTCAATATCGCAAACCTTTTCTGTTCTCCCACCCATCTGAGGCGATGTACTGACTTAAACTACCTCCTCTAGGGGGTGTTAATGACAGCAAAGCAGCTAAGAGCAATATTTCAGCTCCTGACTGTTCCAATCACCACCTAAGTGTTCCAATCAACACAACTTTTCAGGCTCATTCACAACCAAGACAGATCTTCTGTTGCTTAGAGCCCACTTTTGCAGCCACTCCAATCAATAAGAATTCCGAGCACAGAATTGACCTGTTACGAGTTTGTTCGTAAGGAAGGGGGGGAGGGGGGCATAACAGTCACAAAAAATAGTTAAGTACTGTAATACCACAAATTGTCTAGCATTAAGCCACAAAGTGGATACACTCAAAATAGAAGACCAAAAAAAATCAAACAGATATTTCAATATGCTTGGTGTAGAAAAATAAGTTGTCTGAGAAATCAATAGAAAGGTGGTAGTGGAGGCAGCAGGGAGAAGTCTTAGAATGGATAATAATAATTCAAGGTTCACCCCTCAAGATTTCAGGAGAGGAGGAAGAAAAGCTACAAACAGTATCTGCCTGTGCTACAGATGTATGTGTGTGGAGGAAATTTAGATGTCTGTGTTGAGATACCTCAGTGACCGAGATTTCAGCTTCAGTTATTTATTTAAAATGTTGATTTAGACCAAGTTGTGAGGGAAGCTTTCAGGGCTGAGCATGCATGAGTGAAATATCAATGTGCAGTATGGTTACTATGCCTTGTGACTTAGGAAAAAAACCTGTCTCATAGAACGGAGTAAAACTAAAACAAAAGTGTGGGTTTAGTGCAGGGATGGCCAACCTGTGGCTCCGGAGCCGCATGCGGCTCTTTGGAAGTTAATATGCGGCTCCTTCCATAGATGCTGACTCTGGGGCTGGAGCTACAGGAGCAAACTTTTTAATGTGCCAAGGGTGCTCACTGTTCAACCCCTGGCTCTGCACCAGGTCCTGACCCCACTCCACCCCTTCCCCAAGGCTCCTGCCACTTCCCCCCGAGCCTGCTGTGCCCTCACTACTTCTCCCCCCCCCTCCCCTCCAAGCCTCCTGCACGCAGTGAAACAGCTGATTGTGGTGGGCAGGAGGCATGGTGAGGGAGGGGGAGGCGCTAATCGGTGGGGCTACCAGAGGGCAGGAGGTGCTGGGGGTAGGAAGGGGGGGGATCTGATGGAGGGGCTGCTGACATATTACTGTGGCTCTCTGGCAATGTACATTGGTAAATTCTGGCTCCTTCTCAGGCTCAGGTTGGCTACCCCGGTGTAGTGTTTAGCTGCAGTCATATCAGTTATATGCACCATTCATAATATTTTCATGGAAATTATTCAGTTAATGTGGACATTCATGAATGAGCAAGTCACAAAATGGCTTCATCCCTCAAATACAGGAATTCTACAGTCTAACCCAAAATTTTTATTTCCCCTAACATCCCCTCCCCCCATTCAAACATGCCTCGTGATTCAAGGTGATAGGTGCCATGGATGATATTGCAGAGTCAGGATTTTTGCTCTTATCTTGCAGCCATCCTTTTTTAAAAATAAAAAATCCCATTTTCTGACTTTGCATGTGGAAGGAAAAAGTTATATCAAGGAGGCTTTCGCGCTAAGTATCACAATCAAGTTCCTGAGAGCACCGAATACTTTACTCAGGGCATACAGAAATACTGTTTACTATTTTCTCCTTTGAGTTTATACTGTTTGCATTTATCTATTTAATTTTTGAATCTACAGATGTTTTAAGGTTTTCCTCTTTTCTGGCTCACAAACGACTATTCTCAGAGGTACTGAGTATGCACAACACAATTCCTACTGAAGTCAACTGGATTTGTGGGCGCACTGCACTTCTGAAATTCACACCAATGGCTTTTTGAACTCTCTGTTGTCTTGTCTACACTTACAGCAGTGTATAGTATATACTCACTACACATTTAGCTTCAGCCTGCTTTCACTGCAGCCTGTATCCACACTTGTCACTACAGTGTGTAGCTACATGCAGCAATGAAAGGCTTGGGTGGGGGAGCTGCTGGAACCTTTCACTACAGCAGGGAAATGCTTCAGAAACAGGACACTGCACTGCTAAAAACAGCCATGTAGATGTGGGAGGCACCGCTTGGGCATGTAGAGAGCTGGTAAGGTATATAGCCTAGGGTTCAGGCATATTGGGCACTCTACTTGCCCGAGTCATGCCTCACTATCTCCACTGCTATTTATACCCATGCCAGCGGGACATGCAGTGTCAGTACACCATACACTGCCCTAAATGTAGACATACCTTGTGTCAAGAAACAATGGTCTATCAACGATCAGGGCTAATCTTCATACCATTTGTTCTTTCTACACTTCATAAAGAGTTTTGTTCTTCAAATACAGTGGCCCCGTGATCATATCTGAGCATTCCCAGCCTCCAAAGGGCAGATCCTTTTTCTATTTCTCCCAAAGAAACCCTCGAGTAGACCCATACGGATACTCTTCTTGATGAGCCAGCAGTAAGAGTGCACATGAACTGTCCCCCTTTCCCATTCTTGACACTATTCCATACAGGCAAGACTTGCTAGCATAGTAAACCAAGACCTACAAACTCACCCTGTGTCTTCCCTCCACTGTTCAATCACTGAGATTAGTGCAGCCATTACACATACCATAAAAGTGTCAAACTGCTACAAATTTCTTACCTATTGACTGAGGAGAATCCATGTATGGTAAATACTTGGTGTAGTGGGCTCTATCTGTGGCCATTAACACATCCAAGACCCGTTGAGATTTAATCACTCCATTTTCTTAAAATAAAAAAAAAAAAAAAAAAAAAAAAAAAAAAAAGATGGAGAGAAAGATTTCAGCTATTTAGTATTGTAACATGTTCAGGTTTGGACAGAGGCAGTGGAGGGTTTGGGAGGGACAGGCAATAGAGCTGTGTGCCTCCAGGTTTGTGGTTCAGATCTATCCCAGGTTAATAGTGAGTAAAAGCAGCTACCCTCCAATAGGAGTTTGATGCCTTGCATAAAATGAGTTGACAATCTCAGGTCAGTTCCTAGCAGGCAAGTGTCTGCATTACCAAGCACCACACTTGGCAGTCTCAGCAAAGAGGCAAAGGACTAAATGGACAGATTTATTTACACTTTTATCCCCATACGTGGTTTCTTCAGGTCATATTTAAGGTACCTTGGCAGGATGTAAAATTATGAAGTTAAGGAGAATGACTGCAGAGAAGTTCATAGTTCCTTCATTTCTAATTTCCATGCAATAACTCCTGCTGAGAGAACAGCTGTGTTGCTCTAGCAACAGGGGAATTCAAAGCTATTACAGTTACAACCCAAATCATTTGTCCAAAATGGAGTGGGAATACCAATAACTATTCTAGTCCCAATATAGCTCATTGAGTTAACCGCATAGAGCACTGACTTTTACAGTCAGTTATATCAGCTTTAGTCTCTCTATGCCAGGGGTAGGCAACCTATGGCATGCGTGCCAAATGCGGCACGCGAGCTGATTTTCAGTGGCACTCACACTGCCCGGGGTCCTGGCCACCAGTCCGGGGGGCTCTGCATTTTAATTTAATTTTAAATGAAGCTTCTTAAACATTTAAAAAAACCTTATTTACTTTACATACAACAATAGTTTAATTATATATTATAGACTTATAGAAAGAGACCTTCTAAAAACGTTAAAATGTATTACTGGCACACGAAACCTTAAATTAGAGTGAATAAATGAAGACTTGGCACACCACTTCTGAAAGGTTGCCGACCCTGCTCTATGTAATTGTCTACAGAATCATACAACTGGTGTTTTGCATATTCTCAAATTAGACACACATATGAGAGACTTTGGGCCTGGATAGTTTTTCCTACTAGGAAACTAGGATAGTTTTCCTAGCATCATGTCCTGTTTAGGATTAGAAACAGAACAGTTTCAGGCTGTGACATCCAGATTCTGAAGTGGGTGAAGATAAAAGTGCCAAGACTATTGCAGGACATTTTAGAATGATGGATTACAATCCCACTCAATCAAATGTGAAAAATCAAACCTACAACTGTTAAAGTGCTGTGAAGTTTCATCATCAGCTTTAAGTGTGAGCCCTGAAGAGGGGCTGCTGGTGGTACTCACTGTAAAGATTGTTGAGTAGCTCAGCATGTGTTTTCCCACTTGAAGTCCAGGCCATGGTTCTTGTGAGCAACAGTCCCATGAGCACAGTAAATATAGCACACTGCAGCACACGGCTCATCTCTCAGAAATGCAGTGGCCTCCCAGACCTTGCGTGCCAGTCATGGGGGGAGAAAGAGAGAGAGACTTTAAAACAAGCTCAGATAACATCCAGCAAAAATCCTTCCCAATCACAAATGGCCAAGATTAAAATGATATACACATCCTATAGCCATTAAACAATTTATGTTACATGATGTGCCTGATTACCAACCCTGAAGAATCAATACCTCTGACCAAACAATAGACAGAGCATGGATTGCTGCAATGCAAGAATTCCTCATACTGCTCTGCCAACATGTCTTAATGTGGACCTAGAGAAAGCACCTCCATGAATAAAAGGATACTTTAGTTTAGGAACAGAGTTGACAGTTAGGGCTAACTGATGATGGTTCATATTATGTGGACACTTATTCCCAGGGAATATAGAATCAGATGCCCAAACATACATGGCAACAGCTTTCTGTCACCACTAACCTGGGCTAGATTCTAACTAGCAGTATAGAAATAAAAGGTTCTGTACCCAGTTACCACTTTTCTGCACTTCTCAGTGTTATGACCAACACTGAACTGTGTTTTTGAAGACTCACCCATTCCGAAGATATGAAGATGTCTCTGGACTCATATAAGCCCTTAAGTTCATTTTTAAATTAAGAAATTAACCAACATTACAAACACAACTTGAATGTCTAAAGAAGGGAAAAACGAAACACTATTGCTACACAAGTCCATAATTATATAGACTATTATAGCACATAAACACAGCTCCTGCATTTCTACATATTTTGCAGCAACTAAAAATTGCCTCTCAAAATTAAAGGAAGTGGGGAGGAATCTGTGTCATTTAAGGGCTTTATAACAGTCCCCTGATTACTGGGGAGCTACTTCAAGTACAGGTCTGCTTTGAAGAGTGTAATGGCATTTTCTTACTCCTTGTGTATATGTGATCAGTTTTATTGTATGTTTTTTATCATTAGAGTCAGCACATAAGTTTTTATTAGCTTGTAATCCTTTTAGCCTCTCAAAGCCAACACAGCTATGGGAGAGTGAGCTGAAGTTCCTGTTCCATGGTAAGCACCAGAATTTTTTTCCTAACTTACAGCCAGTGATATGAGTGCAGCTCTACTGTCTTCAGATTCTGCTGTAATGATGCCTGTTGTAGGGATATTAAAGAAGGTACTAACAGTGATTCCCCCAAGTAACAGTGACCCCCTCATAATTTGGCCCCCACACTTTAAAATCCAACAGTTTCACCAAGTACAAAAATCTCTTGGGTCTTCTGTTAAAACTTGTAAGCTACTGTCTGTAGAAACCATTGATTATATCTATCCTGTGAAAGATACTTTGTTACTATGTAAAACTTACAAACAAGTTAATTGACTTTGTTCTTGAAGTAATTGATACAATGTAAACAAACACTATAAGCCATTAAGTGACTTTCACTTCATTCAACGGCTCCTAGGACAGACCCCCACCCTCTGTGATTAAAGGGCCGGGAGTCTCAAATGAATTAGCACACACCCTGAAAGTGGTGGAGACAGTAAATTAAAATATGGTTAAGGTATGGAATGTATGCTGATGAATGCTTGATATACATGGATGGTTAGGGAGGTGCCAGCCTAGAAAGGAAGTATCCATCGGCCGAAGAATGTGTCAAGTGGATGACCAGAAAACCCCCGGAGGGTAAACTGGGATCCACCCCATCACCTGGAAGGATGAGAAACACAAACTTTGGACAGTGTGGAGCCACCAGGAATGTGCCACTTTGGACAGGAATGTGTGCCATCTGCTGATTGAGTCAGCAACAGCAGGATGAAACAGCTCCCATAGACTAACATAGGAATTAATTCCTATAAAAATGGACTCTAAAGACTGATGACTTTGAGTCTCTGGTTTTGCTACCAACCTCCAGGAGCATCAGGTGCATCTGACACAGACTCGGCTCCATCCTCATGACCAAGATACCTGGCCAGTAACTTGGCATGAGCAACTTCTAGGCTGGTAACTATAACACCTATACAGAACTTAAATGAATGATTGTGTGAATGAATCTCTCTCTCTTTATATATAGATATGTATGTGTGTGTGTGTGTATAAGAAATAAGTAGTCAAACAACGTTGTTTACTTTTATCTTTTGCTTTATCAGTATATTTACAATAAATGTGGCATCTTTGCCTTATCCCTCTTAATAAGATCCTGCTGGTTTTTATTCTATTGGTATAAAACTGTGAGGTAGCGATGCTTGTGCAATCCCTTCCCCTTCAATGTAGAGCACAGATGTCACTGAGCTTAATTTGGCCTGCAGAGCTATTTTTGCTAGTGATGATGTGCAAGATGGAAAAACCCCAGATTGATTGTCAGAGCCTAGGCTCAGTTTGCAGGACTGGGTGTTGGAAGAGACTCTTACCTGTAAGTTAAGCACATTTGATGCAAAAGTAATCAAGACAAACAAGAAACCCACAATGTTATTTCAGTAACCTTTTAGAGTAGAACTACACCTTAAACCTCCTATCATCCTGTGTAACAATATACAGCAATGCCAGTGTGACAGTCTGTACCCTTACGTTCATTCCTTTTTCCAAGACTATGCTAAAATTTGTCATAATTGGATAATAATTTATTTGTATCCAATTATTACTTTTATGCCTCATTACTCGTAGTCACTTAAAGTCTTTCTGTAGTTAATAAATCAGTATGCTTGGATTGAAGTGTTTAGGAAACTTCACTTGGGATAACAGGATTTGTGCATACCATTTTCTATTAATAAAATGACAGACTTTATATGAGCTTGTATTATCCAGGAGAGGGTTGAGCAGTACAAGATGCACATTTCTGGGGAAAAGTCTGGGAGAATTTGCTGGTGTTGCTCTGCAGTGTAATTCAAGAGTAACTGGCCGTAGCACTCATATAATGTAGCTGGGAATATATGCAGACCAGGAGTGGTTGCTTTCACAGCAGAGCAGTATAAAAGACACCTCAGGCTGGAGAATTGAGGGGAGACAGCTGTTCAACAGTCCAGATTGTATCCTGTGTAATGTCACAGGCACACACCACTTTAGGACAAGTAGTAAAGAATGAATCCAACCAAAGCTGCAGAGGGAACCTAAGAGAAAAGACATAAGCTAGATAAATAGGAGTTTGGCCAGGGTACTGGAGCTCAAACATCTGTTTTCACTAAAATACCACCACATCATCCTGATTTTGATTTTTTTCTCCCACATGCCACAACAGTTTGCAGAATATCAGTTGCCCAGCTTTTAGTTTAAGTGGATCTAATGCTATTGGTGTGTGGATTGATGGAAGACATTAAAGATGGCAGCCTTGAGAGTCCAAATTTTACATTATAGATGGCTGCTAGGTAGATGTGGAGTCTCTGGCAGGGTGGATTTTCAGATCTCTGAACCTTCTATCATCTGTATTTTTAAGAAGGGGGAATAACCTTTACATCCCTGTACTTCTCAAATCACAGTTACATACAGCCTTCTGTACACGTCAGTCATTCCCATCCCCTGCCCTCAAAGCAAAAGGAAACCAGAATTAAACCATAGGGTCTCTATAATTACTCAACTATAGTTACTTTCCATGGCCAATGTGATTTACATATGCAAACTTAATGATGAAAAGGAAGTGACAGGCAGTCAAGTAAGAGATGGAAAAAGCAAAGAGAAGGCTAAAACATGGCTTTCTACCTTGGTCTGACCCAGAATGCTGGGAAAGGCAACGGGAATGCCCAACTTTGCCCCCACCCCCACAAGGGCTTACTGCAGGATCCTGTTAAAATTGAAAGTTACAAATAGTGTTGAGCTAGTAACAAATTCTCCATGTCCACTACACATTCCTTAACATACTACTTTATTGCCCACCCAGAGACAAGTTTAGTCTTCAAGGACACCTTCCTCTAAAAAAAAGTGAGAGTGAGGAATTCCCTTCTCACCTCAAAGAGAGACCATTACTCTCTCCAGCTTATACCATGAGTGGCAGAAGGGTGACCCAGAACTCCAGGGTCACGGCCATTGGAAGAGGATATTTTGCACGTCTATAGCCTTTCATCCAAGGACATCTTTAGAGTCAAGCTCCCTCACAGAACATCAAACCCTTCAAAGACCACTTTTCCCCCCTACAGCAAGAATAGCCTCACACAGATCATGAATTGTTTTAAATAAAATCTTATAACCTAGCTCTAGGTTTTACAGGATTTATCACAGGCAGGTAAAAGAAAGAGAATTACTTTTGTGACTTCTTATATCTAGGTAACTCCAGATTACCTCTACCTGAAACTCATTATAATGAAAGAATATTGACACGCATACCAGATTTCTAGAGATTATTAATATTTTCAGTTATTCCTTTTGCCATAAAGATTTTACTGGTTCTGCAGAAATCACATATGCAAAAGCCTTTCAACTGGAAATCACATGAATCTGTCAATTATGAGAAAGCTCCATAAGCAACAAGAGCTGAATATTGAATAATAGTGAAACTAATCACAAAGTATTATATGTTAAAGCATTAAAATACAGATCTCTGTGGTGCAGAACACAGCACTGAGATGGTTTAAATGTGATGTCTAATATTACAAGGGTGAGGTGGATTTTTTATTTTCAGTTTTAAAACTTTACTTGCAATATGAGAGTTGACTAGCATTTGTTCAGCTGAGATTTTCCCTCCCCTGCCCCACTAGTTTTAAAAGATGATAAAGATAATCAGATGGGAGAAGGATGAGGGAAATCTCACTGTGACATGTACATCGGAATTAAGGATTCACTCTCAGTACAATTATATTTGAAGTCAATGTGAAAAAGCAACCATACCCCAGATAGGAATAAGATCAGACCACTGACTCCATCTGATCTGGTGGTATCAGACCACCAGCAATGGCCAAAACTGGTTTCTTCAAAACAAGATCCCTTAAATGCACCCCCAATCAATTGTGCAATGCTGTGCATTAGGGGCAGGGGAGGAGAAATGCTGTCTATTCCCCTACAAGCAATGAATCTTCAGATCACAAACTATTTCATTACCTCACTTATTTTAACTTGCATAACTATACATGCTGTTGCATTGTGGAGTTGAGAATCAATAGACTGTGGGAATTCTCCTAAAAGAGAAAACCTTAAGGCAAGGGTGCATGTGTGACAAACTACTCCATACTTAAGTGATAAAAACCTTTTTTACATCTCTTTACAGAACTTAAAATAATTAAAAATACTCTCTTTAATATTAATCAAAAGTTTGTTAGTTTTAAATGGCACACCTGGAGAACAATGGCAACATTGGAATGGGATAACTGAAAGCAACAGCAGCGATTCAAGACATTATGTAACATACTAATTTGTCAGAAGATTCCCCTGGAGAATATTGCTGATTATTACCTACAGTGTTCTCCACTTAACTACAGGTTGCTTAATTACACAATCAGTTTATGTATAGAAGAATCAGAGCATGATCAGTTGCAAGTTATTACAATAGAAGCTTGGAGTTAGGAATACCAGAGTTAGGAACTGACTAGTCAACATCACACCTCATTTGGAACCGGAAGTACAGACACCAGCAGAGATTAAAAAAAGCAAATACAGTACAGTACTGTGTTAAACAAACTACTAAAAGTAAAGGGAAAGCAGCATTTTTTCTATATAATAAAGTTTCAAAGCTGTATTAAGTCAATATCAGTTGTAAACTTTTGAAAGAACAACCATGTTCAGAGTTAGGAACATTTCAGAGTTATGAACAACCTCCATTCCGGGGGTGTTTAAGTCTGAGGTTCTAGTGTAAAAGTTAGCTATACAAGGACCTTTTAAAAATTCACTATTCAAATACCAAATCAAGCTGTAAATGCGGCTCTCTGCTGTGTTAAAGCTCCTGCCCCTTGACTCATCTGAAGAGTTTTGATCCACCCACCACCTTTACCACCCGCGATTAGCACGTGCAGCAAAGGGGAAAGCAACACGTCACTCGGGTATAAAAACATCCCGTTGGAAAACAACACGTGTGTCCCACTGGCAAAGGGAACATGCACGGCCCTGAGAGGGCTGGACAGTTTCCAGCTCCCTCCCTCCCTCCGCGCTTGCACCCAGGAGCGGGCGCGCAGTGTGGGGCGGGTCCCGGGCGGTGCGCTCAGCAGTCAGCGACTAACCAGGGTTTGTAAAATTAAGCCTCTGACTCAAGTGCCAGCGAGTTGAAATCGGAGGCAAACAAAATAAACCCTCGCCCCGCTCGAGCCTGCGGGAACCGGCCGGCGCTGGCAGCCCTCGCCCCGGGCTGGCTGGGCGCCCCAGCGCTGGGCGAAGGAGGCTGAGGGGCGCCGCCTGGGCTCGGACCGAGGCGGGCAGTTGGGCGCAGCCCCGCCCACCCCACCAGGCCGAGAACGCAGCTCCCACTCGCCCAGCGGAGCAGGGACTCCGGTGCCCACAGGGCCCGCGGGGAACGGCCACCTAGGCCGAGGGCGGGGGCACGGACAACGCCACATCCTTCCCTAGCACACCTGACTAGGACCCCGCGCTGCCCCTGCGGAAGTGGAGTGGGTCCGTGGGAGCATCAGCCTCACCTGCGCAGGCGCACTAGGGCCTCCTCCGAGCCCTCATACCGCACAGACCCACTTTCACGCCCCCCTCTACTATGAGTAACAACGACTGCCCTCCGCCCTCCGTTTGTTATGGGGACAACTTCCGCCCGCTTTCAAGGTGGCGTCACGCCAAGCACCGCGCTACATTCCCCGCCCCCTCTCTCCAGGAGGAAGAATAATTGGCACTTTCCTGTAGCCAATAGTTGGCACTGCGGTGCTGCCCTTCCATTCGCTGATTGGTCAGGCTAGACGTCAGTGAAATCTCAGTACGTCCCCATTCGTCCTACCCTGGAGGTAAGAGGGGGCAGCAGTGAGGGACTCAGGTAGGTGGGTTCTTGGGCTCTGCCGGTACTGGGGTGTCGCTGCTGCCTCTGTGCCGGGAGGGGCCGTCAGCGCACCTCTGGCTTCAGCTGGGAAAGGGTCTGGGAGGGTGTTCCCCAAAGAGGTAGTAGCAGCTCCCCCGAGGCTGAAGGGCCTCATGATGAGGGCATTGGCATCGCCACCATCCTTTGGACTTGACCCTGCTGAGACTTGGAGCCTTTATTTTCATGCCTGGCCTATGCCCCCTGAGGCAAAGAATGTGCCCTGCAGGGAAGATGGGCAGCCTCCCCCCAGTTATTTACCCAGCCCTAGCCTCTCCCTGAATGGGGATGTGCATAAAAATGGGACCTGGAGCTCAACCACACTTGTCTTTTGGGGGTTTACATAACCTGAGCAACAAGGTTTTTGTAATTCTGCCTTTTTTGCCCATGTGAATAGGCTCTGGCAAACCTTAGACTTTGTTCACTGCGGCAGAATTGCTGCATTATGAAGTAGTGTTTGGTTTGAAAATTTCAGGCTTAGCTGAATGGCCTGTAAGTCACAGGATGGACCCATCAAAATGAGGGTGGCTCTTTACAAAAGATAGTGTAAACTGGAGATTATTTTAAATTGACTGAGGTGCAAGCTTTTCTGAATCATTCTATTATGACTCATACAGTAATAGATCACATAATCCCTCTATACAAATACAATCTATTAGTACAAATTTCCCTTTATGGAAAGTGAGAAACTAGACTTTGTGATTTTCTGAAAGGAGCTTTCTAAAAATCTGGAAACTTTCCCTTTATTTAGACTTAAGGGTAGGGAAAGAATCATGTGTAGATGTAAACATTGTTTTACAGTTGATGCTTACAATTCATCATATGTATCTTTTTCAGGAATTCTGCATCATGAAAATGATTGAGAATGTTGACTCTGTAGTGACTAGGTCAAGCCAGGACCTCTGGGCTGAAATCTGTTCATGTCTGCCAGATCCAGACCAAAAAGACGACTTTAGTGATTCTTTTACAGATTCCTTCACAGATTCTTACATCAGTGGAGAAAGCCAGGATGAAGAACCAGGTGGTTCTTTCCAAGCAAACCTGAAGCCCTGGGCACCTCTGAAAGATTCAGAGATATATTTAGCATCACTAGGTGAGTATAGGGTAAAATTCTGATTTCTGAGTTTGCCTCAGTCAGAAAGTAAGTTTAGAGAATGGTGATGGCTTCTGTATCTCTGTTAGTGTAATTGTAACTCAGGGGATGATACGCCTCCCTCTGAATTAAAAGGCTGTAGACTCAAGCTCCACACGAAGATTTGACTTGTACCCAACGTTGATAGTGCACTGAAGTACTGGCAATCGGAGGAGCTGCAAAATTAACTTAGTTGAGCTTCAGCTGGGCTGGTAAAACTGAGGCCCTTTCTACACATTTCTGGGTATTTCTGTGGGTGAATTAAAGATCCCACACAGTCTTTCAAAAATAATTCAGAGTTAACCACTGTTCTTCCTCTAAAGAAAATAGTTAAATGCAGTGGAAACTATGAATGGGGAATATGTTCTGAACTCATAATGACTACTATGTCTGTATTACCTGTATCTAATTTGTTGCGTTGTGAAACCCTTTGAGACACTTCTAATCATTCTATCAAATATGTTGTGTGCTTCTGGAGAGAAATGCAGTTTACTATTGATCCGTGGCCACTGTCCAGCTTGGGGGAGAAAAACTCAAAACAAATACCTTTCCTAAGTCCTGCACACTCGAGAGATCAAAAAAAGAAGTCACTCAGAGGAGTTCTGCAGATCTTCATAATGTGATCATCCCTCTTCTTTCTTGCACACTGTACACATCCTGACATCAGTTCTTCTCTTGTGCTTTGATCAGTTGTTAAATAGTTAATACTGGCACTTAAATTCTTATGACTAGGCTTCGGAGTCAGTACCCTGTTGCAACTAATAGGAACACTTTGTACCTCACAACTCTTGTTTCAGCCTGTGTGCAGAATTGCAAGGTTTCACAGTCTTTGCAACCAAAAGGGCTAGAGACTTATGTCTTAAAACGACAACTTAGAGTCTGGAGCACAAGATGACAGCCTCCAAAAAGAAATACTGGCCTGTTATGCCACCACAAGCTGGCCCAATTTGACTCCTTCCTATGACACTCATCTCTGTCAAAACTGCAGTGAGCACAAGTTAATACATGAGCCAAATAAAGAAGAAATCCACAATAATGGAATTAAAAAAAAAAAACCCTATTGATTTAAACAAAAGAATGCACTCATCCAGATTTCAAGTAGTAGTAAAATGGTTAACTTTTAAATATCATTTAATCATGCAGAGTTAATCTAACCCTTTGGATTTAAGCTCTCTCACCATAACCACCTGTTTTTCTCTCTCTTCAATAAAACTTCTTTTTCTTCCCCCCAGAGAGAAGACTGATGAGAATTAAGGGTTTGTCTCAGGAAGTGACCTCCAAGGATATGCTGCATACTCTCGCCCAAGCAAAGAAGGAATGCTGGGATAGGTTCCTGCAGGAAAAGTTTGAGTCTGAATTTTATGTGGAGGGACATGAATCTGAAGAGAGGTAACAAGCATGATGAGGAAAGGCCAGTCAGACTGATTCAGGGGTTACCGTTAGCAAATAGAGCAGAGCTTTATTTAAAAAAGTAAAATTGTTGGAGATTTCTAATGGGGGGGGGGGGGAATTATAGCATTATAGTAATATTGATACTTAACACTTGGCCTCTTCCGAGCAAGTCACTGATATTACTACAGCATTTCAGCAAGACAGGAAAGTAGTCCTAGTCCCATTTTATACATAGGATGACTGTGGCAAAGAGGTTAAGGCCTGAATTTTCAAAAGTCCACTAATTTTGGGTGCCTCAATTTTGGCGTATCCAACATGACACACGTTGGACCTGCTTTTCATAGGTGCTGTGGCTTCAGTCGCTTTATTTAGAATGGTGGGTGCTCAGGCTTGCTGAAAATATGGCTGAATATGTCTCAGTTAGGAAATATCTAAAAATTTAGGCCTAAGCCTAGAGTGAGAAGCTCTATCCAGGCCAGCTCCTGAATCTGCGCAGAGCCCCACTGAAGTCCACACTGCTCCAGCAAGAGAGACCTGTGAGGAGCTTCTTGCAAGATCAGGTCCGGGCCGGAGTTGGTGTCAGAGCTCAGATTAGAACTCTTGAGTTCCTGGCTCCTGTTTCTATGCTTAGCCTGTAGTGCTCCTGTAAGCTCTCTCCCTTGAAAATAAAGTTTTATATAAGTGCTAAATATTAGCATCCTCATTAGGTAGGTCAGATAAAGGAAACAGAAATTGTTCGGGCTTATAGAACAATGGTCCTAGTTCTGTCATGAAAGATGCTGTTTCCTATACTTTGAACTGCAGTCCCTTAGAGACAATGTCCTGACTTGTGTTACAGATGCCATTAAATCATCATGTGGGGATGTCAGGAACCAAACAGTCATCTTCTTGAGCACAGTGGATTCCTGTTTCTTCTCTGGCACACAGATTAGTCCGTTAATAAATCCTTCCTGTAGCCATAGGAGAGCCTATAAAATGGAAGAAAGGCCTGTGGAGGGTTAACACCACCACATTTTATAATTCTGTACTGGCTTTTACTACTACCTTATATTTAACTTCTTACTTCTGCTTTCCCTCAGCACCCTGGAACATTTAAAGCGGTGGCTGCAGCCTGATAAAGTGGCAATCAGTACTGAAGAGGTACAGTACCTGATTCCCCCAGAGTCCCATATAGAGAAGCAAGAAACTGGGCAAGAGTCTCCAGCAGCAGAACAATGAAATGCACTCCAACCATGCAAAGCAGCTGTCCAAGGACTGATGGAGCTGCATTCAGTGGCAGTAATAAAAGGGTAGGATGAGGAAATTGCCAATTTTTGGTCAGCAAGGGAAAGAGCTATGGACATCCAGAGGATAGAATTGCATGTGTTATCGACATGAGTGAAGTGTCCTGCAACTTTGTGCATGCTGGACTTAAATCTTGTTTTTATCTACGTGGTTTTCCATCTTGTAGCAAAACAGTCATTCCAGTTAAAAAAAATAAATTTGTAATTCACTGAGGTGATTACTGAACAAAAAGGGTGATATCCTAGAATAGCGCAGCTAATAACTCAGAAGACAGACATTTCTTCCTCCTTTCTTGTACCCTCACTTTGTGGCTATATCTTTCCTGTTGCTAGCTTCACGGGCTTTACTCGTTGATCTGTTACAACAATTCCGCTGTAAAGTTATCTGTAAAACTCCACAATTTGTGCTTGAGTTGGCGCTAAACTGTATCCTGGAGAGATGAGAAACATTTGTCCTGTTTGGATTTGGTGCAAACTAAATGGGATCCTACTCTCCAATGATAATTACCAAAGCCTGTTTAACATTCTTCTCTTTATAATGTACCAGCCTGGAATATCACATTTATTGGACCTTCAGACAGTCTTGTATGAAAAGTGTTCCTCTACTTTTTTTCTTCTGTTCGATTTGTTTTTTCCCCCCCCCCTAGAGAGGGGCAGGTTAGATTCTAAATCTAAATTATAGATTCTAAATCAGTGGAAGTGACAACTGATCAATGGATTGTTTTCATGTTAAATAATTCTTACATTAAGCCTGTTTGTATAGATACTTGATCTGTTTTATCTACAGCACACTGTCCCCAATCATTACTCAGAGGGTCTGTAATCCTGACCTTTGTATGAGACTGACTCTTATAATTATCGTATAGCTGCAGTTTCTTATGATATCAACAGTATAGGGCAATAGAGAGCAATGGCTTACATCTTCTGCTGGGTTCTTAAAACTGTAATGATTAGTTCTAATACTTTATACCGATGTAGAAGTTATGTAGTAAAAAATGGATCTGTGAAATGCACTTGCAAACCAGCTTCTTGAAATACCTACCACTGTTTCCATGTCTCCATAATTGAGTGGTGCTACTGTCTCTTGATTCAAGCCATGGTTTTACTGCTACTTCTGAGCAGGAAGTCCAGTAGGATGACTTGGGACTTGTCTAAATGGGGAAATTTACCTGCAGAACTATATCACTATAGTTACACCAGTATAAGTCCCTGCATGAACACTCTTATTACAGAATAAGTGTCCATGTGGGAAATTATACTAATATAACTATATATTATACACACAAGTATATAACTATACTGGTATAGTTCTGTCAGTAAATTTCCCTGCATAGACATGGGAAATACAGCTCGTCGTTTGAACATATAGAGCTGGGTCTTTTATTGGCCCACAGCTGGGAAGAATTTACAGTATTAGTGCCAGTGAAAACCCAGACTTAAGTTTCCTTCAATGCAAAGCTACTTATTTGAAAGAATCAGACAAGCAGCAAAAAGATTATACACCGCTTCTTCCTAATAAGCCTCAATTCCCCAAGCATAAACTCTTAGTAACTATGTTGGCCCTACGCATTATCCTGATTGGCAAATAAAGCAGGTATAGCTACCAGTTCTAGATGGAGACTTCTTTTCCTTTTCTTCTCAAGCACTTGGTCTGTCAAATGTCCCTGGGGCAGGGGGTTGGCTACCCTGAAACCCTGTGATCCAAAAGTCTCTTTAGAAGTCCCCCACAGTAGGGTGTTGGCTATAGTGGCAGTCCTACAGCATCACAAGCCTCCTCAGATATTAGTTAGGTGGCAGTGGCATGTATGATTATTCCCCAGTACTTATACCCTTATCTCCAAGGAGTCACATGTCCCCCAAATATGCTGTATTGGCATTTCATAACTTGTTTTTTTTTTCTGCTTAATAGTTTTGGAAGGGACTACAGGGACAGACTGAAGGCCAACTGACCTTTACCTTTTCATCAATTATTCACCTCAGCTCTTTGTTGTGCTGTCCCAAGGAGTCAGTTGACCCAAGTGAGTTAGTACCAAATCCACCATCTATGTTTTCTGCGTGTTTTCAGGGGGTCTGACCATTGACTGACCATGACTGTTCTTCCAGATCAGCACAAATATTCAGAGCCCCGATTAAACATCCAAAGTACATAGTTGTGTCAGCATCCAAATGCAAGATCAGCACTCTCACTCAGTAACTTTCCATACCACCTGTCTGATGCTAAGGGAACTGTGATTCCAGAATCCCCTAGCAAATTCAGACTTTCTAAGCTGTACCAGTCTCATGTCAATCACAGTAATTCATAATGTTGAGGTAGTGCTGAATTATTAATGACAGGAGATGTACAAGATGGGTTTTTTTAATTAAATTTCCACTATTTAACTCCCCAAAATTTAAAATGCTGTTTAAAAATAGAATGTAAGTGTAAATTTGAAAATCTCTTGCTTTATTATACATTGATACTGAGTTTCTATTCTGTAGCTGAAACTATGTTGTCAGACTATAATGAGGGTGACTTCCTATTTGATACAGTTCACAAGAATGTGTTAATGATTTCCTCTTCTTTGTAATCAGAGATTGTGATTAGGATATTTTATACTACACTGTAGTTTCCCTTTAAAGCTGCTAGTAAGGAGCTTATACACCTGGAATCAGAAAGTCTCAACCTAAATTGAAGTTTCAACAAAATTTAAATATTTGAACCTACAGATTGAGTAATTGAGGTAATCTCATGCAAAAATAAACCAGTTTCTATGAGTTAAATTTTATATATAATAAAATGAAGCTAAATATATGAATTGGCTCTTCTGTTTATTCAGAGGGGGAAGCTTAGAGCAAGCAATTTTGATTTTTGACTTTTTCATTTTAATAAGTGTTGCGATCCCCAAGGAAAAGGAGGGTTGGTGGAAAAAGCTTTGTTGTCCGACTACATCATTAGCAACTGAGCTCTTCCCGTTTACACTGATATGTCACCAGTCACATGACATCCCCACTGGATGTCACTGCACTGAACAATGTACATTAGTAAGATATAGGTAGTAGATTACACACTGAACTATGGACGTGTAGTCCTATGGCGTTGTGAGCCAATCTTGGTACCTCAGAGACAGAAAACTGGAAGGGGAAGTGGGCCATTGTAGTCTGTAAATAGTTCCATTCAATTGTATCAGTGAAGCTAGTTGTGTGAGGAGCAGAGTACCATCAGCTCCCACAAACTGAGTCCCACATGCAGTAATATCAATGGGAGTGTTTGTTGCCTTCAAATGGTGCAGGATCAGGCCCACTGACTAGTGTACTTAGCCTTTTGCAGGACAGGGTGAAATAAGTCTTTGCTATAATTTAACACTGAACAAAACACACAGAAAAAAAAAAAACTTATAAAAACATACCTGTAAAAGATTGTCTGGGGGTAAATGGATGTACAAGATTCAGGATAATGGTGAATCAGGTCCACAAAAAACTCTCCACATCTTCACAACAGAAAATTAAAACTATCAAAACTTAAAGACACTATTAAATGGCTTTTAACTGGCGATCAGACTTGGATCAAACATCAGATCCAACCCTCCCAATGTTGGTGAAATCTAGATCCAAAGCCTCTGGCTCAGGCTTATCTCTACATCTGCCTTGATCCAGGCAGAAAGAAGTGGCATATTAACCTGAGAATAAACAGAGAAACAAGGAAAGTTGGTTCATATATCAACGGATATAGCCCAGTAATACATGTTAAACAAAGTACAGAAAAATTTAGATGCACTACAGCTGAGTAAAAATGTACGTGTGTGTATATACAGTAACTCACAGAAATTGTACTTTGACTGGCCTACATGGATAAACAGAGGAACACCAAAACTACCATACACACTTTTATATAAATGATAGAATATGACTTTCCTGCAGCTAGGGGGAAAACACAACCACCAAGAAATGAAAGCTAGAGTGCACCATGAACGACTTCCAAAAATGTCCAAAACAAGTCCTTTCAGGAAATCAAACAAAACAAATCCAAACTGGAGAAAATACCACCCCATAAACCTACTTGAATTTTACCCCAGTGCATCTGTGGGAAAATGAATGAGCTGTATAAGAAGCAAGTTTGAATCTAATATACTTCAGGATACTGAACAAGACTATAGAATAATAAAAAGATGTTACGTGTTCTAACCACTGACTTCACTCTTTCCACATAAGAAAAAAAAAAAAACATGATAGTATCCGTATGTGCACCGGGAGATATGACAGAGCAAATAGCAGAAGGAAAAGAAGGATTGATGAAACAAATTAGATGCTGGAAAAACAAACCAACAATAAAATTCTTGACCACAGCATTAACAGTAGCATCATGTGAAAGGTTAATATTCAGATGATAAAACAAATACAGGAAAGTTACTGTCAAGGCTCCTTCCCCACTCTGAACTTTAGGGTACAGATGTGGGGGCCTGCATGAAAACTTCTAAGCTTAACTACCAGCTTAGATCTGGTCTGCTGCCACCACTCCCAATGGGCTAACTCCCTTCCCTGGGTAGCCTTGAGAGACTCTTCCACCAACTCCCTGGTGAACACAGATCCAACCCCTTGGATCTTAAAACAAGGAAAAATCAATCAGGTTATTAAAAAAGGCTTTTAATTAAAGAAAAAGGTCAACATCATCTCTGTAAAATCAGGATGGAAAATAACTTTACAGGGTAATCAAACTTAAAGAGCCCAGAGGACCCCCTCTAGCCTTATGTTCAAAGTTACAGCAAACAGAGGTAAACACTCTAGCAAAAAGTACATTTACAAGTTGAGAAAACAAAGATAAAACTCTCACGCCTTGCCTGGCTGTACTTACAAGTTTGAAATATGAGAGATTTGTTCAGAAAGATTTGGAGAGCATGGATTGATGTCTGGTCCCTCTTAGTCCCAAGAGCGAACTCCCCCCAAAACAAAGACCACAAACAAAAGCCTTCCCCCCACCAAGATTTGAAAGTATCTTGTCCCCTTATTGGTCCTTTGGGTCAGGTGTCAGCCAGGTTACCTGAGCTTAACCCTTTACAGGTAAAAGGATTTTGGAGTCTCTGGCCAGGAGGGATTTTATAGTATTGTACACAGGAGGGCTGTTACATGAAATTTAGAAGCTGTTTCTAGACTACAAAAAAATAAATCACAAATTAAATTTCCTATTCTCTCCTCCACCCCCGTATATATATATCTTCTAACTCTCCTTGTCTTTCTACCCTTTACTATTAGTATTTTTCTTTAATCACAGTATGACTTTTCCCCCTAAAATTTGTCCAGAAATGTGGATAATTCTGGTATATGTGACAGCTCAGCAATACTCTAATAGTTCATATTTAATGTGGAGGAGAATAAAGTTAAGAAGGCATTATAATAAAATAGGAATTCTGGCTGTTTAAAGGAAAATTAGTTTCAGGTGGAAACCTCTGGCCAGGACTACACTCCTGTCATAACTATAAAGAGAAGGGTAACAGCTCTCCTGTGTACAGTACTATAAAATCCCTCCTGGCCAGAGACTCCAAAATCCTTTGACCTGTAAAGGGTTAAGAAGCTTAGGTAACCTGGTCAGCTTCTTGAGAAAGGACTATTGTCAGTAAATGCCCAATCAAGAAACACTTAACTGACAATGGACTTTGGGAGACGCCAATCCACATCTGCG